GAGGCACTTAAAAATACATGGTGAATAATTTGAGGTCAGCTCGCAATAAAAGCTTTGTGTGAAATGTCATTAAAAAAAATCTATTAACTGTGTTACTAGTATATGCAAGTCAAGGTGTTACATTTGTATAAACATAGAACAGATTATACACACAATGTGCAGACTTCTGCGGTTTGACCCTTGAAATCCAAATAAAAGTTATATTATCCTTAGAATAAAATTCTAAAATAGAGTCTTTTTAAAGAACATGTTCATCTGAGAACATAAATGACTCCATTAGGTTGCACTATTAATGTAAAATAGAACAGATCATAACTTTGGAATTAGATACCTGCTTTTACCATCACACAGGTGTCCATCCCACCATCCCACCCCACAAAGAAACTTCTATAGTTTATAGTAATTATAGTACTTGCAATTCCCTGATAACATGTGTGGTGGGTTAGGTAGTAACAAGAAAAAGGGATGAAGAAGTAATTTCAAGGGCTGAATAACAAAAAGGAGCAAATAGGAATTTGGGTGAGATTTAAGATAGCAATGACAAAAGTATGGGGTGGTGGGAAAGAACTCACCCATCCATACTGGATAGATTCCACAGCACCACACCCCCTGCTCTATGAGGTTTTACAAGTATGGGAACAAACCAGCCACACTGAGAGAATAAAATGTAGATTGATCTGTAGGGAATTTGTTGGCAGAAAAAAAAATGAACTTTTCCCTTACTCTTAAAACATTATGAAGAAATCTGATGAAACCATTTGGAGGCTGACACAACTTATTCAAGCAATGAATATTAGTTTTTTAATTATGAGAATATTTCTTTCAGAAAAAAAGGAAACAATAATTTCAAGTCTTATTTGTATCTGTTTTATTTAAGAATTCCCATTTAAGGGGCGCCTGGGTGGCTCAGTCGGTTAAGCGTCCGACTTTCGCTCGGGTCATGATCTCGCGGTTCGTGGGTTCGAGCCCCGCGTCGGGCTCTGTGCTGACTGCCAGCTCTGAGCCTGGAGCCTGTTTCAGTCTGTGACTCCCTCTCTCTCTGACCCTCCCCTGCTTACGCTGTCTCTCTCTCTCTCTCTCTCCTAGAAATAAATAAAAAATATTAAAAAAAAAAAAGTTAAAAAAAAAAAAGAATTCCCATTTAATAGAACACTTTTGTAATACATATCAAATCTATATTTTTTAAAATCTACATCTTCTCAGTCTCTGTGGACTGTGACATGCCCATAGTTCTTTGGTGGTTACCAGCCTCATGGTACAATGAGAAGCTTAAGACGAAATAGCTTAAGATGTTTCTGTGTTTTCTACTATTCTGAAAGCAACTCAAACCAGATGCTTGGGAGGCAGATGGAAGAAGGAATCCTAGATTAAATGTAATGATTGGTACATTTACGATAGGTATACTCAAAAACTTTCCTTTTAAAATAAGGAGAAAAAGGTTTCATAAGGCCATTTTTCTAACCTATTGGCAAGAGCATCTGTTTCAAACAGAGTGACATGTAGGAAGACAGTCAAACAGACTTGGGAAATATTCTTGAGGCCCTTAGGGCTCTACAGAGTTGATAAGCAAGGGTCTGCAAGAGTCTAATACATAATAGGTAGTAAATGTTGTGCAGTCAGTTGGCTTCTGGGAAGATAATATGCATAGTTGTGGTTGTTGTGAATTCAATTTTGTGTGCAAAAGCCAATATGAAGCCAACTGTGTTTGTGAAGAATATACAAAGGCCATCTCTCTTCTATGTTTGTACTGCTGTCTTGGAAATATTGTGATATTTATTTAGGCTAGAAAATGGAATATATTGCATCTAACAGTTGAATCTTTTGGTAAAATACTCTGATGTGATGGTCTAAAATGCTAAGGAAAGTCCCCATAGATCCATGTGCAGTAGGAAATGTTAAAGCTCCTTATATAAGTGGAAAATGGACTAAAAGAATGTTAAGCATTATTCATTGAAACTAAAATTGGAGAATATAAATTGAATGCCAGGGTCTTTTATTAATTGAGTTAAGTAGATTTAATTAAGAGTTGTTAGTCAATGAAATTATTGTATAAATTTTTGATCTACAATTGCAGTTTTTGTTTTCTTTCCTAGAAAAAATATTTTTTAAAAAAATTATTCCTTCTTTTGTAAAACATTTAAATGAACATCTTGACATGTTAGTTCTTTTGACACGTTGACAGTTGACACACTGACTTACCTTAGTGTCTTCTCTCTCTGTTTTTCTCCACCCCACTTATTTTTCGAGCTACTGACATAATACATTGATGGGACCTCCATTTATATTTACTATGGAGATCATGGGATATATTTATATCAGCTTTTCATTACTATTTTTTAAGTAAGGAAATTATTTAGAAATCTATATAAATCTATAATGACAAGGAGTGTTGTTTACCCTATTTCTGGTCTAGGAATTTATAAATAAACAGTATCAAGCAGTTATTTCCTTACTTATCCTGTGTTTTCTTGAAGAACTTGAGCTGAGTGGTTAGTTTTATCTTTGTTATTTATAAAAGGTACAAAATATGGTGAGAATTGCTTAACAAAACAATAAATTTTTTCTGTATTTAAATGAAAAATATTGTGTGAAGTTAGCATCCATGTGTGTGCTGCTTCTTAATGTGAATTCTAGTTTTATTTACACCTACTGAAACCTAATGCAAAAGATTCAATGTAAAATGAGAGGATTAGCAATTTAAGACAGGCACAATTTTGAAGCTTCAGTTATATCTTATAAAGATGTACAGAATAGTTTAACTGAGGCTGGCTTACCTCAACTATAGTAAAATAGTATCAGCAATGAGAAACCACTTAGTATGGTGATTAGATAAAATTACTGATGTGATATTTCAAAAGATTTATTTTGTGCAAAAGGCATTAAAAATATGTTCACATATACATATGTGTGCATATGCATATATACTATCTCAGGTTTTTTTTTTCATACCAAAAATTGGGCTTCACTGCAAGCCATATTAAAAGGTGTTATTATCTTAAGATTTTATTGTGTTCTCTTTTAAAACATACATAATATGAGGCACTGTAAGATTACAGCAACAACTTCAGTAACGTAATATTGAACAAACGTGCTTTTAATTATATTTTTTGAAAAAAGGGAATACATTTAGTCATTTACTTGTTTGGCAATTAAGAGTTATTGCAACATCTGTGGCAGAAATCATTGGTATTCGTTTTTTATTTTCATAACATACTAGACTTAGGCATTGATCTCGCCTCTCTTATGGCAGAAATGTTTTATTCATTTGAATACCCATAAACTTTTGTTTCTACAGGTGAAAGCTGAGTGTATGGGATAGAATGAGATGGAAATTTGGGTGTAGGATATAAGATTAGTGTAAGAACAACCCAGCCCTACACAAGTAAAATTTTTTAGGGAAAACACAGCGAAGATGTCATGGGGGTACAGACAAGAGTTTTCTTTTTTGCTTTTAAAAGGTTGAAGGGGATGAATGTAAAAATTGTATATGTCTTCTAGTTACACAAAAGTCTTGTTTTCTTTGATTTTATGTCAAAGCTTAGTTAAAAATATAGAAAGAGCTTCTTAGAGTTTTTATTAAGAGTTCACATACTTCTGTATTTTTTTTTTTTTTTTTGATGCCTAAAGAATACAGGCAATACTCGTTCCTTCTCAATAGGGGTTTTCTTTTCTGACTTGTCAGTAAATGCTAGATGTTGGTTCTTTCATACATGGGAGGGAGTGGCTTCTTGCTACAGGAATGTTCTCCCTACTGATGGGGGACAGAGGTGGCTCCGTCATAATAATTCTTTCTGTAAGCTTCTCAGGCTTTGCCTGAGCATATGTGCCATGACTTGGAGCTAGTCTGAAAACTAATTCTGCAACAGTGCTCCTTGAGTGGGAGAGTGAGATGCTGTGCAATCCTGCATGTTTCTTTGTTTACTTCATGGGTCATTGCACCCACAGGCACCTTTATACACTGCTGTGACACAGAGACCAAGACAGTTGTAGTGGCAGGATCCTCTCCTAGGACAACTTTGCACTCTGATGAAAGTGAGGGCCCAAGATTTCCTCTTTCTTGATGCCTAGACAAGGAGTTTTGCTGGTGTATTTCTGGTAGCAGAAAAGTCAATTAAGCTTAGTGGTTGGTACTTTTTAGCAATTTACAATCGAGGGAAATGTTCTGATACATCTTATGTGAAATATGCTAGTTCAAATGTTCAGATGTGACCCCTAAACTTTTTTTTGATAAAATGTTAATAAGAACTATAACTGACCCAATCCGGATCACTTCTCACAAAGCACAAAGGTATAAAGTATGGAGGGCTCTTTCTTCCTGGTGTTTTCAGTGAGCTGTCCTGCACAGAACCCTGCTGCCCCCTGCCCCCCACCCAGGGCTTCCTGCCCTTGTTTCTGGGATATGGGTGCAGCGTGTGCAGCTAAATCTTGCCTCATTCTTATACTGAGGAGAGGTTGTTGCACTGGGAAAATGCTATAAGGAAACCTCTTCTTTACTGTTCTGAAAACAGTTTTCTCTAGGACAGATTTGGGCAAGAGAAGGACTCTTCACATTTTCTTAGTGAATAGAGGGTGTCTAAGCATCCCCTTACATAAAACACTAATCACGTACTTTTTTCTGATGATCTGGTGAAATCGTCTTAATTTTTCTTTTTTTTTTTTTTTCAGTTCACACACATGTGAATTCCCCACATTTCACAATGACAATGTATATTTGTGATTCCTTGTTTTATTTTAAGGACATTGCTTTGTTAAGTGTGTTGAAGAGTTTTCATAACCTGTTTCTACCACTTTAAAATGGATTTTTTCTTGTTGTTAATGTGAATCCGCAAATTTGGAGACTGAGAACCATGTGTAGAAGGGTGATTGCCTTTTGTGTGAAAAGATTCGAATCCTTTCTTTGTGTGTGTGAGTTTAATCAGCCAGCCTTGCTATCGATTTCTTCTGTCGTACACTGCCAAATCTTCTATTCAAGTGTTGTGAAAACTCTTTGTTTTTTTCAGGTCGAATGAGTGATTTGAGTGTAATTGGTCATCCAATAGATTCAGAATCTAAAGAAGATGAACCTTGTAGTGAAGAAACAGACCCAGAGCACAATCTAAGTGCTGAACTTTTACCTGAGATAATTGAAATAGATCTGTACCACAGTGAAGAAGATGAAGAGGAAGATGAAGAATGTACAAACGTTACTGACGTCACGACAACCCCGTCAGTGCAGTACATAAATGGGAAACAGCTCGTCACCACTGTCCCCAAGGACCCAGAAACAGCAGAAGCTAGGCGTGGCCAGTTTGAGAGTGTTGCACCTTCTCAAAATTTTTCAGACAGCAGTGAAAGGGAAACGCATCAGTTTGTGATAGCCGAAACTGGACAGTCTACTGCTGTGCAACCCAATGAATCAAAAGAGACAACTGAGTCGCTTGAACTTACATGGAAACCTGAGACTTACCCTGAAACACCAGAACATTTTTCAAGTGGTGAGCCTGATGTTTTTCCTACAGTCCCATTGCATGAAGGAGAAACCACAGAGGGGCCAGAATCAGTTACAGAGAGAGGGCCTGAATTTGATAATCTGGTCGATGAACACATAGAACCTGTACCCCTTTTTTCTGAAGAATCTTCAGGAGATGCTGCCATTGACCAAGAATCTCAAAAATTAGTCTTCTTGAGGGCTACCGAAGTAACATTTGGCAAAGAGGCAGAAAAAAGCACTTCTGTCACATATACTCCAAGTACAGTTCCAAGTTCTGTGTCAGCAGATGTTTCAGAGGGAATATCAGTTACCTTCTCAGGAAACGCCCTCCCCGATGACCCACTGTCCACTGTAGAAAGCTGGGCGGAAATAACCCCTGGGGAAAGTGCAGAGCTCTCGGGCAGCCCTTCAATTCCAATTCCAGAAGGCTCTGGAGAAGCAGAAGAAGATAAAGATAAAATGTTCATCATAACAACTGATTTGTCACGGAGCAATACTACAGACACACTCGTTACCTTAGACGCTGGGAAGATCATGATCACGGAAAGTGTTTTTGATGTTCCTGCAACCACCTTTGATTCGGTCTCTCAACAACTGTCTGCAGAAGTGGTGCCTACAAAATTTACAGGGGAAACAGACACTTCTGAGTGGGTTTTCAGTACATCTCTTGGAGGAAAGAAGGGAAAAGACGAGGAGGTTGGATCTACAGTCACAGCTGCTACAGTTCAGGTACATTCATCTACACAGAGATCAGATCAATTGATTTTACCCTCTGAATTAGAAAGCTCAAATGAAGCTACATCTAGTGGTTCAGCATCTACAGCCAGGAGCAGTTTTATGTCCTCGACAAAACCCACACAGTCTGAAAAAGAAATGGCAAGGTCTACTCTTGTCTTTACAGAAACAAATGTTTTAGACAGTCTGGGGGAACAGACTGCTAAGCCCAGCAGTAGCAGTCACCGTTCGGTTCAAGAAGGGCCGTCCACTGTCCCCGATAGCCCCAACTCTCTCTCTGTGGAACTGGGCTCTGGAGAAGCTGCTGCCGACCCAGAAACCACCACTGTTTCTTCATTTTCATTAAATTTTGAGTCTGAAATTCAAACCAAAAAGGAAGCAGCTAGCACTTTGTCTCCCCATGTGGAAACTATACTCCCTTCTGAGCCAACAGAATTAGTTTTGACTACTGTAATGGACAGAGAGGCTGCTGAAATTACCAGCCAGACATCCAAAGAAAATTTGATTTCAGAGATCTCAAGAGAACAACATCATGAGGCAGAGATAAAGGGCTTTTCTCCAGATTTTCCTTTGGAAGAAGATTTCAGTGGTGACTTGAGAGAATATTCAACGGTAACTTATCCCATAGCAAAAGAAGAAAGAGTAATGATGGAAGGCTCTGGGGATGCAGTATTGAAGGATACCCAGATTTCGTCATCGTCTGTAATACCTACTTCAGATCACAACAGCTACAGAGCCAACCCAGAAGGACCCAGTAGCACCGTGGTCAGCACTGCTGACTTCCCTTGGGAAGAGTTCACAGCCTCAGCTGAGGGCTCGGGTGAGCAATTGGTCTCAGTAAGCAGCTCCATGGACCAAGTGTTTCCCAGTGCTGTGGGAAATGTTTCTAATACAGATTCTCCATTTATTGGCCAACGATTGGGAGAAGAAGGCACTATTAATGAAGCTGATACAAGATCCACCATTTTACCAACATCAGAAATTGAAGGTACTGAAGCTGCAACAGAAAAGGGGAGAGTGAAAGCCGGTGTCACAGTTTCAGCCAACTTTCCCCAGACTATGGCACCAGCCAAATTATGGTCCACACAAGAAATCAACCCTGTGAGACAAGGAACTGAAAGTGAGACAGCATCAGAGGAAAAGATGCAAGAGCAAAAATCTTCTGAATCCCCACAAAGCTCTGTTGCACCAGAACAAACAGTTTTTTATTCACAAACATTTACTGAACCCGAACTCCAAGCCACAGATTACTCTATGCTAACAACAAAGAAAACGTACGGTTCTGATGAGGAAATGGAGGAGGAAGGCATTTCCTTAGCTGATGTATCTACTCCAAATCCAGAGGCAAAGGGCTTGGCATCTTATACTGCTGTCCCCGAAGTTACTGAAAACTCCCATTTTTTCTTAGCTACTACCTCAGTGACTGAATCTGTAGCCACTGAAAGTGTACTCACAGATTCCCCAATCAAAAAGGAGGAAAATGTAAAACCTTTCCCCAAAGTCATGAGACCAATAATTAAAGAGTCTGATACTGATATTTTATTCTCTGGACTGGGATCAGGAGAAGAAGTTTTGGCTACTGCAGTATCAGTGAATTTCACTGAAACGGAACCAGTCATTAGCACATTATATCCTCAGGTTTCTCAAATGGAGAATTTAGAAACCAGCCTCATAAGTGATACAAATGAAGATAATAAGGGGATGGAATATGTAGCAAAGGAAGTTAGACCACTCATTTCCAAGACAGACAACCTCTCTGAAAATAGTGAGACAGCGTCTAGCATGACTTTACTAGAAATTTTAAGTGTCACCAGAACTGAGGGACCCTCTATGGCACCTCTCACTTTCTCCACAGATACTGAACATCCTCAGAGTCAGACTCACAGTTGGGCAGAAGAAATCCAGACCAGTAGACCACAACCAATGACTGAACAAGTCTCTAATGAGAATTCTTCAATAGCAGAAACAAAAGACATGGCAACCCCTCCCTCTGATTTTCTGGCTAGAACTTACAGTCTTGAAATGGCCAAAGGATTTGTTACATCAGCACCAAAACCATCTGATTTGCTTTATGAACATTCTGGAGAGGGATCTGGGGAACTGGATATGGTTGATTTAGTCCACACTTTTGGAACTACTCAGTCAACCAGGCAAGGAAGCACTGCATTTGTTTCTGATAGATCCCTGGAAAAACATCCTGAGGTTCCAAGCACTAAAGCTGTTACTGTTAATGGATTCCCAACAGTTTCAATGTTGCTGCCTCTTCATTTAGAGCCCAATGAAAGCTCCCCTGATCCAACTAGCACAGTGTCAAGTACAGTGTCACATGAGAAGTCCACAGAAGGTGCTGCAGATAGTTTCCAAGACCATTTCAGAGAATTTGAGGATTCTACCATAAAACCTAACAGAAGAAAAGCCACTGAAAACATTATTATAGATCTGGATAAAGAGGACAAGGATTTATTACTGACAATTACAGAAAGTACCATCCTTGGAATTCTCCATGAGCTGACGTCAGATAAAAATACTATCATAGATATAGATCACACTAAACCTGTATATGAAGACATCCTTGGAATGCAAACAGACATAGATCCAGAGGCACTATCAGGACCACACGGCAGTAGTGAAGAAAGCGTTCAAGTTCAAGAGAAGTATGAGGCAGCTCATAACCTTTCTTTAACTGATCAAAACTTTGAGGGCTCTGGTGATATTCTTCTGGCTAACTACACTCAGAAAACACATAATGAATCAATGACTTCTGAAGACAGAAGCCACTTAGATCACATGGCCTCTCTCTTCACAACTGGGATCCCTGTTCCTAGCATAGAAACGGAATTAGATATTTTGCTTCCCACAGCAACATCTCTGCCTCTTCCTAGTACATCTGCCACAGCTAATCCAGAGATTGAAGAACCAAAAATTGAAGCAAAAGCCCTAGATGATATCTTTGAATCAAGTACTTTGTCTGATGGTCAAGCTATTGCAGACCAAAGTGAAGTAATATCCACATTGAGCCATTTGGAGACACAGGATGAGTATGAAAAAAAGAAATACGTAGGTCCTTCTTTTCAGCCAGAATTCTCATCGGGAGCTGAGGAGGCACTGATAGATCCTACACCCTATGTAAGTATCGGTACTATCCACCTCATGGCTCAGAGTTTCACCGAGGCATCTAATGTGATGGAAGGATCCAATCCCTCAGATTACACTGATACATCATCAGCACTTACAGCTTTTGCAAAGTTGTCTTCTCAGACACCTTCATCTCCACTCACTGTCTACGTAGGCAGTGGAGCCTCTGAAAATGCAGAGGGCCCCCAGGCAAGTGCACTTCCAGGTACAGATGCCAACACATCTTCCATGTCTCCAGGAAGACTTGCAGATACTGAAGTGACTTTCACATCATCAAATGAAGAGTTCTTTCACATGACCGATCCTCCATCCTTATCTTCTGACACTGGACTAGAACCTTCAGAAGATGGAGCGAATCATAAATTTTTAGAACAAACGGAAGCTTCTCCCACAGAACTGATTGCTGAAGAAGGAACTGAGATTCTCCAAGATTCCCAAAACAAAACCAACATTCAACTTTCTGGAGAAACAGTGAAGGTGTTTCCCAGTAGTAGAACACCCAAGGCTGGAACTGTGGCCACAACTGCAGGTGAAATTAAGTTAGAAGGTGCTACACTGTGGCCACATTCTACTTCTGCTTCTGCAATTTATGAAGTTGAGGCAGATGTCCTGCCTCAGCCCAGCCCACAGCCTTCTGAGAGGCCCACCATTTCTTCATCTCTGGAAATAAACCCTGAAACACAAGCAAGTTTGATCAGAGGGGAGGATCTCACAGTAGCAACATCAGAGCAGCAAGTATCACCAAGAGTTCTTGATTACAGTAATCAGCCAACAGTAAGCATTGCAGAGTTAAATACTGAGCTTGCAACACCATCATTTTCCCTTCTGGAAACTTCTAATGAAACCAGTTTCCTGATTGGCATTAATGAAGAGTCAGTGGAAGGCACAGCAGTCTATTTACCAGGTAAGGTCACAACATTGATAAATCTGTTTCCAAACTCGGAAACAGTCCCTTGGTCCTAAAATATATATGTATATAATTTTTACTGCAGTATTAAATCAGTGGAGATTTTTATATTATTCACATAACACCAGAACAGGCCACAGTATTAAGTCCATAATTAGATGCAAAGAAAGTAAGTACAGATTATTTCTGGGCTTTATAGATATTTTTTTTGTATTTTTCTGGGTTTTAGAAACAACATATAATTACGAGCTTGGAAAAGTGAAATTGTTAATGGTGTAAAAATTCTATTTGCTCTTACCCATAATTGAAATATTGCTTTGTCATATACTCTGAAGTTATACATCTTAGTTTAAAAACGGGAAAAAAAATCCCATTTTTAAAAATCTCTCATTGACAGGTGCTATTATGGCTCTATCAAAATCTGTCAGATCTTTAGAATTTGAGAGTAGCAAATAACTCTAATAAACATTCACATAGTTTGTGCAGTATCAGTTATCAGCCCATACTTTTATGTAATTTCCTTACTCCAGATAGTCCACATAATGCTTCTAACACAGTACCTAGCCAGAGTGGATATGTATTTATGCCCTGCCTGTCAATAGAAGGTTTCTGCTTTTTAACTGAATGGTTAGAAAACATGACTTTGATACTGGTTCATATAAACTCTCTCATTTGACCTTCACAAGAATGCTGCATTATTATTACCATCACCCCCTTATTATTATCCCAACTTAAATCCGGGGGAGTTGGATGTTCAGAGAAGTTCTATAATTTGCCCAGGATTGCATACCAAACACGCCATAGCACAGGTAGGATTTGAACCCAGATCAACCCCACCACAAAGTCCATCGTCTTCTCATTGCTCTTTGCTGGTTTCCTATTAATGTAGTATAAAAGTGAATAATTAATATTTAACGACTTGTAAACCAGAAACCTTGGGATATTGTCTTTGTAGAATTTATTTTCCTTTTAATCTAGCTTGATAATATCGAGAGGTTTAATGGTATTTTCCAGTAATGTTATTAAAATAACAATGTCAGTGGAATCCACAAATATCCATTACCACCTACCCACTACTTAGAAAAAGGAAAAAAATTAGTACCTCAAAGGCTGTGTTGTTGAAAATGTTTTATTTTAATGAATATGTTTTACAGCATGGCTATACTTAGAATTATTCTCCTGATCGTCTCAGTGTTATCTTTTGTACCATTAATGCTTCAGCTTGTCGTACTTCACATAGAATCAAATAATCATAAAGTGCAACTTTTATAAATGACTCCAAGTATTTTCTGAATAAAACCAAGGTGGTTGATGGAATTTTTTATTTTCACTCTCTATTTAATCTGTAAATGATAACCTAGTAATCTGGCCAATATATTCTTTTGGAATTGTGTTGAAAATACTTCAGATTGGTGAAAATATAATTCAGAAATCATTGGTGAATCATAGAGAGAGAATTAAGTTTGGCAAATGAATGAGAAATGTGTGCCAGTGATCTAGCCCACAGTGTTTACCTAGAATTAGAGCTTGCGTCTTCATTGCACAGCAAATTGTCACTTCAGGCGAATTTGGTAAACAGCAGCTCATATTGGATTGCCTGGTCTATCTTTTGCAGGTTCAGCTTTCAAGGAGTAATACAAACTGTTTAGGGGAGAATAAAATTTGTCAAAACAAAACTTTTCTCCTAATCTAAACTACTTGAAGATCACAGAAAGCCCCACTTTCTTGCCAAGTCCTTGTCCTATACTCTCAGCATGATGCCTGGAGTCTGGGGTGGGAATAATAATACCACTTCATAGTTGTGTGGCACAGCACAGTTTTATCAAGCACTATTGCATACGTGTCACTCTGGTTTTGCATTGAGGGCAGCATGTAGACGTGTTGTTGATGGCAGTCTTGACCTATAAGCAGTGTACTTTCAAAGGCAGAAGGCTAAAATGTCTAGGGAAATTTTACATATTTTTAGAACTCTAGGAAAAAGTGTCTTCGAATAACTGGGGTCATTTTTGGAGTAAGTGTAAGCATCTGATTATAATGTTGAACCCCCACAGGCGAGTATATTATCTGTCAAGTCTTTCTCATAGTCTAGGATTTACTTAACACTCAGAAAGTTGGAGTTTGACTTTCTTGTATGGAAAGGCCCAGTTATCTTTCACAGCAGTGCTCACTTATTCGAATATTCCTAAGTTTGTGTTTCATGACTAGACATCTTTTTTTAATGTATAATTATTTCAGGATTTCGGGACTCAAGATTCTTGAAAATACAGATTGTCATCCAAATATCTCCTATTTATGTCAATTATTTTGTAGAACCTCCAACTCTTATCTGTACTTTTGAACATTTTGAAACAGAGGTGATCTGGAAAAAGTATTCAAATAATAAATATAAGTGATTTGGGTAAATATAATTATCCAATCAGTATTATGGAAGAATATATGTGCTCAAAATATTGTAAAAGTATTTGCATTTAGAAAACAAATTTTAAAGGGTTTCTCATAAACTTGTGTCTGTTGCCTTTACATTTATCTTCTAGGAGTGTTGATTTTATTTGTGTCTTAATAAGAAAACTGTAATAAAACTTTGAGGTTTCAAAAAATTGGGGGGTTTCATTTTAGGTGAGGTGTTTGTCTTGGGTTTGTTTTTATACAGTAGAGTTTAATTGATGTGTTGCTTTTCTTCAAGTATAGTTTAAAGGAGTACATTTGGAACGTGTTTTTGGAAAAAGCATATTAATGTAGCAGAAGAGACTTCAGTGCACACTTTCGAAGAAAAACAGTTTCTGAGCATTAAGTGGTAAAAGGCATAATAATTCAAATGATGATAACCAGCCAAACTGCTAAAAAGAATGCATGTTCTGTGTACCCAGCCATTTCACATGAACTAACCTCGTTTAAAAGAATACATTTTCCATTCACTGTGCACATACGTGTAATCATTTTTGACTAAAATCAATTGCCATTATCATGCCAACTAAATCTGCAGTAGAATATATTAGTTGCCAGATACTGTACAAAATCTTGTGTAAAAATAATGATGACTGAATCCCAGAAATGAGTAGATCAATTCGTAACAATTAGTTATAATGCCAAGAAACACTCCAGAGAGTAAAGTTAATGTTAATTTTTATGTGTAGTATCTAAATTGCTATGGTAAAGCTTATATTATGGTAGCAATAAGTTGCAATTTACGCTAAATGTACTGAAACTTGGATATGAGCCTAATTGCTTTTCTTACTTTCCTGAACATGGTAGGACCTGATCGTTGCAAAACAAACCCGTGCCTTAATGGAGGCACCTGTTATCCTACTGAAACTTCCTATGTATGTACCTGTGTGCCAGGATTCAGTGGCGACCAGTGTGAACTTGGTAAGATGTTCTTGCCTGAAAGAGTGTGATGTTTTTCCGGAAGATATATTGGGGCAGAATTTATACTGCTCAAAGGATTTCAGAAAAACCCATGTGTGGATGAATTATTTGTTAAATGACATTAAAATCAGAGAATGTAAGTAGAGTCTGGGAAATGGAGATAGGTATTTACTGAATTTTGTTAATATACCCAAAACTCAGTAAAGCTTACTGAAGTGACTTATTTTGTCTTTTTACATTTTTTCTAGGTAGGCTTTACAAATGGAAAGTTGCATAAATAGTAAGGAAATATTTTAATCTATTTCCCTCAATTGACATTTCAGCAATCAATTTAAATACAAAATAATTTTAGAAAGCTGAACTTAAAACTTAGGGAGTTTTGGGGCACCTGGGTGGCTCAGTCAGTTGAGCGTCTGACTTTGGCTCAGATCATGATCTCAAGGTTTGTGAGTTCTAGTCCCATATTGGGCTCCACTGCCTGTACAGAGCCTACTCTGGACCTTCTGTCCCCCTCTCTTTGCCCCTCCCTTGCTTGTGCTCCCTCTCACTCTCTCAACATATTTAAATAAATAAACATTTAAAAATTAGAGAGTTTAGTTTTTGTGTTTTGAGCTAACTCGCTCTTTTGAGGTGGAATGGGCCCTCGGTGGTCTCAGATGCCAGCCTAACCCACCTCTAACTGAAGAAGTTGTGAGGTTTCTGTCCTATTTTTTGTGTTTCAAGGAGTATATTGTGTCTTTACTAAATCAGTTCCTTTCACTCTCATTCTTATTTAGGTTCCCTTTTCTTTATATATATAAAAAAATGACCCCCATTCTGATTTGGCTAAATATTGACCTTTCCTCTGAGAAAAGAGGAAATACATTGGTCAGGTCATCCTTTTAGACGTACCATAAAGGTTTTTTCATACAATTGAGTAAAGAAGACCAGGACAACATTTTAGATTACACGAAAATACTGAAATAAAATCCTTAACAATCATTTTAAAAGTGTGCTCGTCTTATGAATTTTTTAAATGTTTATTCATTTATTTTTGAGAGAGAGAGAGAGAAAAAAAAAAAAAACAAGCAGGGGAGGGGCAGAGAGGGAGACACAGAATCTGAAGCAGGCTCCAGGCTCTGAGCTGTCAGCACAGAGTCCAGGGCTCAAACCCACGAACTGTGAGATCATGACCTTAGCCGAAGTTGGACGCTTAACCATCTGAGCCACCAGGTGCCCCAAGAGTGCTTGCATTAACAAAAAAGAAAAGTCAATACAGCTAGTAAGCCCTATTTCTGTGTTAATTAGTAGGGACATAGAAATAGCAAAATAATGCATTTAAGGAATAACTAACATCTTAAATATCATATTTACATATATATGTATAAAAACATCTATTTGCCTCCCATTCTATTTTACTTGAAAATAATTTAATGAGTTCATTTATGTGAAGCTTTAGAATAGTGGCTGGTACTTAGCAAGCATCACTTGATACCAAGTGTTTGGTATCACTCCTATATAATACTGTCATTACTAAGGCCATTTTTTTAGGTACCAATACATTATATACCTCTTGGAAATTTAATTAACTTTGTATATTTATATAGTTGAATACTCTTTATTTAATATAAGCATTAATTAAATCTTCAGTGGCAGTGCAGTACAATGGGAATAAAGCCTTAATTTCATCAGATCATACAGGTCTGGATAGAAAAGTTGCATTTAATATAGACCTTAAAGTTGGGAGGATTTTGATGGCTGCTTTGGGAGACTCAGACACAGCAAACATAAGTACACACACCACAGACTGCAGACTGCATTTGAGTTACTGCAAGTATTAAGGTATGCCTACTTATGGGTTTGTGGAAGAGAAATCTATTAGAAGAAAATACTTGAAAGGAAGTTGGATCTGGATATGTCTGCGAAGATTCTCAATTCAAGGGATTACTTCCTATTTTAGTAGAGGGATTCTTAGACTTTGGTATCATCAGAATCATGTGGAGGGCTTCTACAAAACCGATCATTGGTGTTCCCGTCCCCCGCAGGGTCTGATTCTGTAGGTCTGAGGTGTTAACATCTCTAACATTCTGTTGATGCTGATGCTGCTGGTCCAGGGACTCAATGTGGAAGATCTCTGCCCTGGGTAGTTAGGATCGATGGAAGTTTTGGAAGCCAAAGAGTAAATTAGAGATGACAATCAGCAGAATGAAGGATGTACTGGAAAGGGAAAGGCCCAGAGACAGGAAGGCCAATTACATATTTTTGGTATTCCACAGGTGAGGTAATCAAAGCAGGAGCCAGGATTGAGAGTGGAAAGCCCAGAGAATTCTTTATCAGTTTCAGCACTCATGTGACTCATCTAAAAGCAATGGAGACAATGACCCTCCTATGAATAACTTTGAAATTTTCTTAGGGTTGCCAGATTTGGCAAATGAAATGCAGGAAGGTCAGTTTAATTTTAATTTCAGATTAAAAAATAAAACAATGAATTTTTGTTGTAAGTGGACCCTAAATATAGCATGAGACATATTTATACTAAAAAATTATTATTTTCTTAAATCTGAAATTCAAATTTAACTGGCTGTTCTGTTCTTTATCTGGCAACCTTAAAATAAATGGGACTCTTTGACCTTCTCTGAAAATACTTTTGTGGCCTTTCATGATTTTATTTCAGATTTTGATGAATGTCATTCTAACCCCTGTCGCAATGGAGCCACATGTGTTGATGGTTTTAATACATTCAGGTGCCTCTGCCTTCCAAGCTATGTTGGTGCACTTTGTGAACAAGGTAAGAGCTGTTGCAATATTTCTAGGATGAAAATTATTGATGTTTCATTTCAAATGTTACTTCCAGACAGCTTTTTGTCATAATTATTTGGGTGTTTTTAGAAGTGTTGGCTATATGGCATATTTTTTTCCTGCAGGGGAAATTCACAGGTTACCTATGTTAGGTTTTCTTATGTGTCTGACTTTAACTCAAAACACCTGAAAAATAGTGTTGACTCAATCACTGCTGTTTTGTTGATAACCTAGAATTGCAGACAGGCACACTGAGCTAAACTTCAGAACATCTAGCCAACAAAAGGAACATTGTTATAAGTATTCTTCCTGAGGACAAACTAGGCATTGACTTTAATCCATCTTTGTGGCTTATACCAAGGAGTATCAAATTCAATATTGGTTGCCTTTATTTTCTCCTTCTAAGCACTTGAAAGTCAATGGGCCTATTTTTCATAGTTAATCATCTCTGGAGAATGAGTTGTTATAGTTGTTAGAATACATTAAGTTTGGCTTGGCAAACATTAAGTAAAAGGTATAATAAATGTGCTCAACAGGGAGCTTTCTTACTAAAGAAGCATCTACTTTTTCTGAATGAAACAAAGGCCTATGTTCAGGATTGCTTGAATCTCATGATCCCTGTAATTTGTATTTTATAGCCAACCTGAGAGTGTATTTTAGGTGGTTAATGGTAACATTTCTTAGTCATCAATCAGAAACACATTGCATGTTCAGCATCCTCAGCTTTGAAATGTCGATTTCCTTTACTTAAAGTCATACAGTGGTTTGGCTTTGAAAAAAGTATCTAGTGCCAAGCTTTCTTTCCACCAGACAGAATGAAAATGTATTAGACGCTTAGACACATTGGTCTGGCCCCACATTCTGCTTTGCAGTGTTAATCCAGACATCACCACAGTTAGAACAAAACTGAAAGCAGCACGTATTGAATTGCCAAAGAGGATGGATGATGGCTCCTTTTTTAAGTTTTTTTTTTCTTTCTCTCTCTCTATTGCATAGGATGAGTCTGTTTTAGAATTTAAAAGGTAAATATGCAAATTGACTAAGAAAGATCCTCTTCTTAAGGAAAACAGTAAGGAAGATACCATTTTTTAAAGAAAACAAAAGGGTGGGATATTTGAAACATCAGATATGTTAAAATGATTCTGGCTTCCCTTAGTTCAAGTCCAAGGAGCAGTTCAAAAAATCTTTCATTCGGGACACCTGGGTGGCTCAGTAGGTTGAACATTGGACTTCGGCTCAGGTCATGATCTTGTGGTTTGTGGGTTTGAGCCCCACGTCAGCCTCTGTGCTAACAGCTCAGAGTCTGAATAGCCTGCTTTGGATTCTGTGTCTCCTCTCTCTGTCCCTCTCCTGCTCATGCTCTGTCTGTCTCTCTCTCAAAAATAAATAAGTGTTAAAAAAAATTTTTTTAATCATTCATTCAACAATGTTTACTGAGCACCTACTAACTTCCAGGCACTGTCCTGGGCCCTGAAAGTAGAACTTTGAGCAAAACAGACAAGGTCCCCAGTCTTGGTGACTCAGCATAAATCTTGACAGGGAATAAATAGGTACATCATTTTGTTTAGTTGACCATATTTCTATGTGGGAAGTGGGTCAGAAATTGAGGCTCAGAAAGGAAAAGTGACGTGTTCAAGGTCACACAACTAGTAAATTAGAGAGTGGGAAAACGAACCTAGGCTTCTTTATAAAGCCCAGGTTTTTCTTGATTTCTTCACACTTTAAAGTAACTCTCATAGATAAGCGTTTTATTTATGTGTATCATAAAAAGGTTTTGCTTTTTTTCCCCTCTTATTTCTGGTGCCACCTAGCTTTGGGGCACATTCTGTTTTGTCTTGAAGCAAGTGTGCTTTCATCCACATTATTTGCTGAGAAACAGCTCTCCCAGCCTGTTTACTGGATTGCAGCTGTGCTCCTGTGATTTATTGCCAAGACACTGAAAGATTTTTTTTTTTCTCCTCTTTTCAGGTTGCCTAAGAACAAATATTTTTTTCATTAACAGCAGCATTGTTGTCTAAACAGTCTTCTATCCAAATTTCAGTGATGACTATTTTGTTGTTTCTTCAGCTGACCTTTTCTTCTCTGCATTAGTAACGTTCCAACTCCCAGTAACTCTGGAATAGGGGACATGTGTTGGTAGAGTGATAATGGTTATAAAATCTAGAAGAGGCTCTTCGAACAGTATGGAAACAATTCTGTACACACAGTTTGCCCCAAACTAAAGTCAGTGATACAGCTTGCCACCAAGAAGTGCCTAAATGTTAATGGTTTCTTAAGATTTGAAAGCTATATGTCACAAATGTTGAAAATGTGACCTACATGACATAAAGAGTATACATTTTTAGTAAAATTGCTTAAAAGTGATAGTTTCAGCTTCCGTAGCCATGAACAAGAATGGTCGCACTCTCCCTCATCACAGCCAGCACACGCAGGCAAAACTAAATCTGGATCTTCCTCTTGTAACCTACAAATTATAGTAGTCTTAAAGCATAAGACAAATTTCTATATGTCAAATGATTTTTAAGAAAATATCATCTAAATGTATTGCTTTTAATAAATGAAATGTATATCCTGTTATTTTTAGATAAGATTAAAAAACAAACAGGTTGCTTCCAATAACCCCTATCAGAATAGCACCCTTAGGAGATGCTGCTTGACACTTAGTCCTTCGTTACGTATTTATTGAATGCATGAATAATACAAGTTATGTAAACCCATATGGATATTTGGCTTTTTTTTCAATGAAGAGTTTGTTAAGTGGTGTTTGCACATATATGCATAATCATCAGGATCATAAATCTATGGCTTCAGTAGCACAGATGAATAAATGAATGCATACATACACAGATACATAAGCACATGCTTACAAACATACACACATACATACATACACACATGCATACATGCATAAACAAACTACAAACAAACAAACTGTCCCAATTTGGACCTGTGTTCTGATAGAAACATACTCACCTGTTAACCAAGAAAGGCTTTGTAGCAATGATGTGGTCGTGCATCTAAATTTTATGATCAGTTGAGATTTTGGGTGTAGGGGATAACATACTTAATGATAATCTATTTTAATGATAAAAGACAAAGAAAGAAAGCTGGACTAAAACCACTGGGTTAATGGAGGATATGAGTGTATAGAAGAATTTTTTCTAGCATCATATTCAATAAGTTAAGGATCCTCTAGAATTTTAAGCTGTGTCCTATAATAAATATTAATTTTCATGGTTAAGGAAAGCTATGCTTTTATAATATCACCTTATTGACTTTGGCAGTAAGAGGTTTCTAAAATTCTTCCCAATTGTCCTTCCCTATAAACTAACTCCCTCATATATGAAGATTTGTTTCCTCCCCATGCCTCCTGCCTCACCTCTAAATTCTTCCGCATGAATATCGCAAAAGGAAAATTGCTACATCCAAGTAGCCAAATTACATTTCATTCTTCAGGGCTGAGTGCTACTTTTATACCAAACCATCCAGCTGTGTCTCCAGTATATTCCTATGAGGTTTGGTGGTCTCCAAACAACACTTTAATAAAACTCAAAACTTCCAGTGCACGTTATTTAAACCAATTAGTTAGCTGGCTGTAACTAACAACAAGCCTGGATAGACTAAACTGAAATGCAGACTGCTCCCAGAGATAAGCTACATCTGTTGTATGACTATGGTCGAAATCCCTAGAGCCAGGAAAACATTAAAATCTCTCAGAATTCATACTTTCCCACAATTGTAGAAAGAGAGTAAATGGTGTGAGACTCAGGAGATAATTTGACTATCAATTTGGCCACCAAGTCTGACCTATAAAGCAAACACTTATTTCATGTAGTAGGATTTTGTTTCCTTTATCAACTGGTAGGATTAGAGGAAGGGGAGATGGGTTAATAGGTAATTTGGAAAGTTTCTTTGTGCCTAAAATTCTATAAACTTTGCAGTTTTTTAGTTCTTACATGTAACCAGTCAGTACGTTTGTGAGATATGTTTTATGATAATCAAAATTATTTCCACCGATCATCATTTAATACATACAGTTTAACCCCAGTTGTGAGTGGATGAGTCTGAAGGAAGGTTGCCAGCGAAAAGGTGGTGCTATGAGCAAGGCTGCTTTCCTGTGAAAATATTTAAAACCTGCCAATCTAGAATCTAGAAACTATAGCTGCAGCTCACTGCCAGTATAAAATGTAGGTATATTGGATAAATGTTCTCCTCCCACCAGGTTACTGGTTATAGTATGCTTGTTACAGGAGAGAAAAAAAAATATGTATGTATATATAAATACATGTATCTGTGTATGTGGCGTGGTGGGATATGACTTCTGTTATTTCACCCTAAAGCAACTTAAAATCGTGATGCATTTGCATGGGTAGTTACCTATACTTCCTGTCCTTTGATGAAAAAGGCACGCCATCCTAGCTATATCCCAGAAGCTGCCTACTGATGAAGAATTTTTTTTCCTCTCTTTGTAAATCTTACTTGACAAGAGCCCGTGGCCACCCAGCTATCTCTCTGGAAGTGGTAAAGGAACTACTTTTAGAGCCTTTGAAGTCCTTCTTCAAATAGAGCATTCATAATCCTATTAGCTGGAATTCTTATCTTATCACTTGAATGATTCTCTTCAGAAAAGTTGTGTTGGTAAGGACTTAGCCCCAGTTGCTTCACAAATGAGTCAGTAGACATTTCAGCCTAAGAAGTTTTGTCTGGCCCCTCTTCCAGTTTCCTTTCCTGCTGAAACTGGCTCTAATCAAGGAAACTGCAGTTAAAATACTGCCTTTTCAGTCCAGAGATGTACAGCCACCCACTTGGCAGGAATCACTTGGGCTATCGTTATTATGCTGTCCTCATCATTGTGATCAAATTTTATTAATATGTAATTTCAGAGACATTGCATTGATATTGGCTTAGGTCTTCTTACTAGCACGTAGATCCCTGAGGCAAGATGGAATGATGTAGGTGAGTTTAATAAGCCCCTGCCTTGTTTCTTCCAGACACAGAGACGTGTGACTATGGCTGGCACAAATTCCAAGGGCAGTGCTACAAATACTTCGCCCATCGGCGCACATGGGACGCAGCTGAACGGGAATGCCGCCTGCAGGGCGCGCATCTTACAAGCATCCTGTCTCATGAGGAACAGATGTTTGTGAACCGTATGTACCAAATGTACTCAGGGTTTGAAGCTCACTCAGTGTCACCATCTTAGTTTTTTCTGCATCTCACTGAACAGCAGTAACTCTCTCTGTTGCCGTTCAATTTACTAAATGCCTCATCTGAACTACTGAAAAGCCTCTCTCCTGCATGAGTCCCCTGCTTTGAGAAGTGCTCACCTCTCATATAGGAAAGAATTTCCTAATCTGCCAGCAGTAGGTGAAACAGTGTGCTGTAGGTTGAGTCACAGGAAATTGCTATTTGATCAGTTTTTGACTTACCAAAATGCCCCCTTCTTATGGTTCCATCTCATCCTTCTGATAGCTGCCTTCATAATTGCTAGTTTGAAGATGTGCTCATGTTGTCTAAAGTTAAAGACAAAACTGCTTCCAGTTATTTTTATCCCCTAATTAAAATTGAATGTATAAGAGCACTCTAATCCTACCCATGGCACAAAATTGGTTCTCATCCACACTGCTCATGGTTTTAGGCCATAGAAAGTGGGCTTCATGTTAAGGGTATGAACAAATGGAGACTGAAAGCTAATGAAACTTACTATCAGAGCTGTTGAATGACTCTTTAAACTAGAACAAAGCGGAGAGCAGCTGGCTTTTATGTAGTGAATATGGAGGATTTTTTTTTTTTTTTTGCTTATGAAGCATTGTTTGATGCTGTGCTAAATATGTTCTCATAACGCCTGCTATCTTTTAGGAGTGTGATAGTTAATTTGCAATTTGGATGGGGGTTCTATTAACTTTTTTGCGTGGTATTCTTGCCAGTGACTCATCTACAATGAAAGTCGTTATTTTTGAAGATAATTTTGCAGGGCTATCTGGTCTAGGTATTCACTGTTTGAAATGCTTTGAGAAGAAACATGTGGCTTCCACAGTGAGACTAGCATGGGAATGATCTGTCACATTTTATCAGGTCACTGAATTTTTGCCAATGGCATAGCTTAATAAAAAAAAATGGAAAGTTTTTATCATGAGTAAGGATGGAAAAATATTTAATTATGCTAAACTGCTAGGGAAATTATTTTCTTATGTCTGATATTTTAATGTTTCTCAGTGTTTGTGAATTAGCTTTTGCGTTTAAAGCACACTGGGCAGAAGAACAAAAGATAGTTAGACTATGAGAGATTTTTATGAGCAACTAAATAAAACTGCAGCCAGGAAAGAGGATGCATGATTCACTCTGAAAATAATTTTCTTTGATACATTTCATCCATATATGGGAAAGGTAGTAAAAATATCTGTGTTGTTTCCCCTCTCTTAGGTGTGGGCCATGATTATCAGTGGATAGGCCTCAATGACAAGATGTTTGAACATGACTTCCGTTGGACCGATGGCAGCACACTGGTAAGTTAACTGCTCATGAAAAATACCAATCCTTGGACCTTGTTACTGTGTGCTGATTGCATGTTATATTTGACTGGAGACCAGTTAAGTGACTTGGTCAGGGTCACTCAGTGAAATAAATGAGTGTTAGAATGGATCTCCATGCTAACTGACCCACAACCAGTGCTCGATCACTGTGGCTTTCTTTGAAAGAGGAGCGTATCAGATTCCATTGAACTGGAAAACCACATAATCAGCAGAATTGCCTTAAGTCTGTCTTTCAGATGGTTATCTTTGCTTTTTATGGCTTCAAAGGAAAAAGGGAAAGAACAAATGTAAGAGAAAAGGCCTTTAAAAAAAAAAAAAAAGCTTTCCCTGTTATATACTTGCACTGGAAATCTGGTATATGGCATGGCTCATTTTTATCCAAACCAAAATGCTCTTTTTTTTTTTCATCTTAAAAAAGATTGTTGAACTATGATCTTGTGGACTTTCTTCCACTCAACCTCTGCTGACTAATTATATAGTTTTGAGCTTTCTCTGCTTCTTAACGAAAGGAATGACTTGGTAATACTGGCCACAACTTTGAGTAGGCTGCAATAAGATTCTTCGGACTGCTGAACCTGTTTTGAGTCACTATTCTAAATACATGTGAGTGTAATTTTTTTGGAAATAGTTCTAGTGTGGTTAGCTATACTAGTGTTTCTAGGTGCCAGATATTCATTGGAATCACCTGGGAAACATAATTTACCAACTGGTGCCTAGGCATCAGCTCAAATTCATTAAAGCAAAACCTCTGGTGGCTCTATGTTCCACGTGTTCTCCAGGTGATACCAAAATGCAGACAAGTCGAGATCCACTGGGCTAGATAATAGGTGTAAATTCAATTCAAAATTAGATGAATAGCAGGAAAAATCAAAAATAATTTTTAAGCTCTTTCTGTGTGTGAATTATTTAGGTGCTTAAATTTTATTCATTACCCTCCACTCATCTGGATTCCATGAATTTGACAAAATGTAAAGTTGGTCTTAGAACAGAGGCGGGAATAACCTCTGCTTTTGGAAGTTCTACTCTGTTCAAGAAAGCTTTCTTTGTTCTTATGAACCTACCACTCAGGTCATCTCCATGTCAGTTGCCATACCCAGCACTTTGCATATATATGTTCCCCACAATAATCCTTAAGAGAGGTAGTAAGTGTTTTACAGGTAAAGAAGGGAAGGCCAGTTAGGCTGAGATTTTTGCCCGGAGTCACAATTCTATTAAGTGGTGAAGTTAGTATTTGAACTCAGGCCTCTTTCCAGAGCCATGCTTTATTCTGGCTGGCACCTCCTTGACTTGAAAAGATACTCTTATTACATTTTGCTTTGAGCAACCCTAAAATAAAATCTGGCTTACCCTCTCTCTGCCATCACTCCCTATGTTTATTCAGCGTCATTTGTCATATTCAGGTTCATAAGTAGGTTCTTTGGCAAGAGGCAGAAAACATAGGGAAAGTAGACTGTAAAATATATTCCCAGTAATATCTATGAACCATACCCTCTGGATCAATACTCATTGTTTCCTCATTGTCCAAAGTGGATGGTTTATCTGCAGATGTTGCAACTGTATATTTTTATTTTGCTAAAATAAATAATTTTAGGAGGGATAATTTTGGTTAGTTTGATTAATGGTGTTTGGTATGGTGTGAGCCCTTCTATATTTAAATATTAATTGAAGATAAACTATTTTGATTTACTAACTTAATGAATATGGGAATATAAAATTAAAGGATTCTTTTATGTTGTTATAGATAGTTAAAACTGTTTTTGTAATTTTGCTAATGTATTTTATATAGTATAGGCATTTAACGAGTTTTCTTTTGTTGAATGAATACTTGAGTCCTGTGGGGTGACTTGAGACTTAAGACCCACCACTAAGTCTTCCTTCCACACACTTTCCCTTAGACACAGCCCACTGATAAGTGTAGGTCCTGCGAGGTCCCAACTGTATTACAAAAGCTAGAACACCAAGGATTCAGGTGGGGCTCTGGTTGGTGCTTATTTGTTCCTTGAAGACCTTGACCACAGCTTATCTGAAAGTGCACCTGTATGTTCCTGCTCTGAGCCTAGCATTTGGCCAGGTGCGGTGTATGTAAAGTCTGTCATTGGCTACATACTGACCTGGCCTGGTCAGGCCAAGTCCCCAACTTCCAGTCTCTCATTGGTTATATAGAATTTATTTGTATGTTTTCATTCTTTTGTATGTTACTAGATGTTTACTCCAGTCATTAGCAGTTCAGCTTTTCAAGGAAGTGGTTCTCTTGCCTGCTTTTTACTTTTTTTTTAAATTTTTAATGTTTATTTTATTTTTGAGACAGAGTTTGAGTGGGGGAGGGGCAGAGAGAAAGGGAATCACAGAATTCAAAGCAGGCTTCAGGCTCTGAGCTGTCAGCACAGAGCCCGATGAGGGGCTCGAACCCACAGACCGTGAGATCATGACCTGAGCCAAAATCAGCTGCCCAACCGACTGAGTTACCCAGGCGCTGCACCTGCTTTTTACTTCTTACGGTGTCTAGGACAAGGCCCTTATACTACCTATGAGCTTGGTTAATGACACTGAATATTGACTTATAGCTGGCAGCTGAGTGAGGTCTAAGGGAATGTTTCTTTCCTGTCAGATGCCATTCAGGTGAGCTTGATTCATCAGATATCGTTAGTCCACTATGGCAAAGCAAGCCACCTCAACTGTATTTACTTATTTATTTATTTGTTTGTTTGTTTGTTTTGGTCTGTGTCCATTAAGTTTAAATGGACTGTGAAAAATACCATTAAAAAAATAACTTAATTGCCATTTCCCTGGCCTAGACTGGTCCTAAACTTGGTAAGTAAGCAAGAATTGCGCTTTGAAAAGAGAAATATATTGATCTTCCTAGGAAATTTTCAGAGGAAGATAACAACCTCATGTAGATAGCTGTACAATGTAAACAAGAACCTTATCCTAAATTAGTTCACATTTTTACATGGAAACCTAAGGGTTCTGAAGAGAGCAAGCGAGGGCCTCCGTTTGAAGAAGCGAGCAGATGAATTACATAAACAAGCAAAGCGTATCAAAGAAACAACACAAGCATATCTAGAAAGCATTCTGACAGACCCTTGGTTTCTTCTTAATTCCCTCTTTGTGTCAAATAAAAGTGTGCTAAGGAGTGTCCCTAACTTTGAACATTTTGGAACAGAAAAGACCATCTGCCCAACAGCCTGCCTCCCTCCCATCTGACTGATCTCTGGCCCACTCTGCTTTTGTAACCACCCTCGCCTCTATCCCTTCCTTTCTGACACAACCTAGGTGTCTCTTAAACTCGTTTGTAGTTCTTTCTGCAGCCACCATCCCCTTAACAGGTTCCATATGTTTGCAGGCTTTGAATAAAATAGTTCTTCTTTGTTTCGCTGTTTACTCCAAGTGTCTTGTCTTTGAAAAGATCCCTAATAGTAAACTCTACATTGGGGAAAGCAGTATCTGCTTACACTTGGAAATGGTGTTACCTTGACTGTGTGCAATTTTAAGGACTTTGTTTATGTTTTAGAGTGATTTCTCCCTTCTCCCCTTTGCCCCCATTTTTTGTTTGAAAGATTTATTAGAGCTTATTCTTCTTGGGAGGAAGAGCAGTATTAAAACAAAAAGAACCTTTGATATTTACCATATATTATCTTTTGTTATTCAGCCTTTCAATTCAGTAAAAGCAAACAAGTTTCTATTAGGTTTTTCAGTTTCAATAATTTATTTTCTTAGAATAATTAAACTTTGCTTCCACAAAACTTGCAGTATAATTACATTATATTTAACATGATTATTCTGTATCACAAGACTAAGTCCATTTATATGCTTATACTACATTAATGTTATTTGGCCAAGTTATCTAAATTGCTCTTGTTCTTCTGATTCTGATTGATTCATTCCACATTATTGGCCTCTATAATATGACGTTGATAACATGCCAAATTCTTGCTTTTCTTGTATCTTCAAAATCTTTTTTTTTTGTATCATTTGGGTGGTTTATCCAGTAAGTTTCACAAAAATATACTCAGGCAGAAATTGGATCTAGCCTTACCCTTGTGATTTCTATGAAGGTTATTTTCTCTTAACACGTTTCAGTTTTTATTTTGTCACTAGGTTTTCTAATAATTAGTCACCTTTCACTTTGTCCCTTGGTTTTCAACTAACAAGTTATTCTTTAACTTGACTATTGATCTCTTAATAGTAAGATGCCCTAAGTACTTTATTAGAAACTCTGACAAATAACTTCAATAATGAATTACTTCACTTGTCACCCAAGTGATGTCTTCAAAGACATTAAGTTAAACTATCCAAGTTAAATACACATTAAAGTTGGCGAACTTAAACAAACATTTCTTATCTAGCTTCCATACTTTTAGCTGACTTTTAAGTTCTTTCTTTAACCTAATTGTTAAATGAATGACTAGTCTGAAGTGTTTCCCCCAGATCTGTTTCCCAGTGCCTATGACCTGCGTGTCCCCTTACCATGAACTCTTGTTACTCTCTTCTTGAAATCCTGCAATATCTTCCTCTTGCTTTCATTATAAAATTCTAATTATGAGCCTGGCATATCAAGCCCACCAATTCTACCTGCCACTTCCTAAGCTGTATCATCTCAAACTACTTAAGGTTCCTGGAATAAGCCATGACATCAAACTCTTGAGGTCTTTGCATACTCTTGCCCTAGTGTTTGGAATGTTCTCACCTCTTGCCCTAATTTTATTTAATAAATGTTCCAATGCCTTACTTAGCCTCGAGTCTCCCTCCAAGAGCTCCTCTACTTGTTCCAGAAGCCTCTTGTGTCCTCCTCACATCTAACCACTGACCCCTGTGGGGTCTAATTTCCTAACACTGAGCTTTCTGAGGCAGGGAGTAACCTTCATTTCTATTTTTTTCAGCACCTAGCAGAGTATTGACATAAACAGATAATAAATGTTTTTGAATGATAATTACTATTTCTTAATGTTTATTTATTTTTGAGAGAGAGAAAG